TTTATTAATATCTAATTAAAATATTTTACATGTTATTAGTGTATAAAAAATTTTTTAACGGAATTTTCTAAATTTTTGCCTAAATGTGTATTTATTACTTAATTTTATTCTTTATTTGTATGGAAAAAAGTAAATTTTAATTTTAATTTTATTAATATCTAATTAAAATATTTTACATGTTATTAATATTAAAAATACAATTTATTTTTTATAATTTTCTATATAAATTAATAACAAAAATATGCAATAAATACACCTTTAACCTGTTATGTGCCCCAAAAAATCCTCCTTTAATAAGATTTGTCTAGTGTATAAATATTAAAAATGTATTTATTGCATATTTTTTACATTAATTAATGAGTGATGCTATAAAGATAATTTTTTTATATTACTTTTTTATACAACTTTCACATATTATTAAATGAGTAAATGTAGTCAATATTACAAGTTTTATATGAATTAAAAGAACTAATCATTTAAATAGCATATCAGGTTATATAAAAAATTGAAATAAAACGATTATACAAAAATCATTTTCCTTAATTAATTTATATAAAATAAAATAAAAAATCTGATTTAATTATGGTAGGTAGATTTTGGTTGTATGAGGCCCAACCCAATACCAGACCTACAAAGTACAAAGTACAAATCACAGTACTCTCCCTCCACCTAAGATTATTATTATCTATTGGACCTACAAAAACATTCTGCCTTTTTTTCAGTACTTTAGGCCCAATCGAAGCCCACTTGGTAACACTGTTTCCTTTTTGTTAACAACAACCCAACTTCGGACCATATATTATGCACGGGAACACAGCCAATTTATGTAAAGAACAGAATTCTATGAAAACCACGACATTCTTAGGGGGGTTTTGTTTTCACTTTTTAGAAAATAATTGTTGGAGGTTAATTTTAAGGGTTTCTCTTAAATTAAACCCCATTAATTATGATATTTGTAATTAATTTAATAAAAATTTTATATTATTTTATATTTTATATTTTATTTTAATCAAATTTGATATAAAATTTGATATAAAATTAATTTATATAAAATTATTTTATTTTATTTAATAAAATTTATTTTACATTCTTAAAAAAAATTAATTTTAATTAAGTAAATTAAATATTTCAAATGATATTTAATAACTATTATTAATCATTAATATCTAATGATATTCGTTAAAAGGTAATATAAATAGTTTATTCAACTAAATGCTACGCAGGACACATGTCAGATTTTGATTCGTCATTCCCAACAAAGTTTCAACCCTCCACTGTCCTCCGCCGTTCTCAATTACTACAACCGAATCCCTTTCAAAATCTACAACCAGAAAAAGCGGATCTGCGAAATCATGGGGACGGAGGTGGAGGTATCACAGCCGTTGCTTTCCGACGACAACAAGAGCTGCACCGTCGTGTCGGAACAGGTGCCGGAATGGAAAGATCAGATCACGCTCAGGGGACTGGCCGTCAGTGCCATGTTAGGGACTCTGTTTTGCATCATCACGCACAAGCTCAATCTGACGGTCGGAATCATCCCGTCTTTGAACGTCGCCGCTGGCTTGCTCGGATTCTTCTTCGTGAAATCGTGGACCGGGTTTTTATCCGGCTTAGGGTTTCAGGTTAAGCCTTTTACGAAGCAAGAGAACACCGTCATTCAAACCTGCGTGGTTGCTTGCTATGGCCTTGCTTTCAGCGGTATAAATCTTTTTCTTATGATTTCTATCAATAAATTTCATTATGTCTTCTCTTACTTCCACAATTCTGATTATTATTATTGTTTAGCTGTAAATTTACTCCTGAAATGTTATGATTAAATCCCTAATCATAATCTGGAGGATTAGTTTTTAGTTTGAGTTTTGTATTTTCTTTTATTGGATGAGGAAATTGCTTTCTTGAGTTTAATGTACATTGTTGGACAGGGGGGTTTGGTTCATATCTAATTGCTATGGATGAGAGAACATATAACCTTATTGGTGCTGATTACCCTGGTAACCGTGCGGAAGATGTTAAAAACCCAGGATTGCTGTGGATGATTGGTTTTCTATTTGTTGTCAGCTTCCTTGGGCTTTTCAGTCTTGTTCCACTTCGTAAGGTAATCGTTGTCTTGGTGTTAATCTTCATTACTGTACTCATTATTAAAACTATCAGCATATGTATTGGGGCCTTTTATCATGTGACAAGTTTGGGCTTTTAGAGTAAAGTTACATTTTTTAGATGAGATCCAATCTTGCATTGCTAAATGGCTAAATCTGTTTATGGATAGCATCTATAGTCATGAGATTCCATTCTTTTCTCTTTGTTTCCATCCTTTTTTTATTTTCATTTCCTATTATGAGACTCATGGTGGGTAAGGGTTACTTGTTTCTAGAATCAACTTTTGACCAGAGAATTTTGTCTGTTGCTTAACCCCAGTACTTTTCATTTTTGACAAAATCTTTGGTTTTAACAATAATAAATTGTTTTGTTTTTGCCATAATAATGAATAATGTTGACCAAATTTTTTACTAATGCAAGTGAAATATACAGATTCCTCTTATGCTATGATCATTGTTTTGTTGAAATATACTCTTCTTATTGTTCCTCTGCAATTTCTTAGGTCATGGTCTTGGATTATAAACTCACATATCCCAGTGGAACAGCAACAGCAATGTTAATAAATAGCTTTCACACCAACACTGGAGCTGAACTTGCAGGGTACTTATTACTTATTAGACTATACAACAGTGTTTGTCTTTTTGTAGGTTTTTGTATGATTCCTTCTGATGCAATACTACTCGCTTTGAAACTACCAGATAATTTCTTGTTATTAGGATAATAAAACCAAGTTTAGAAGAGTGAATGAAGAAAAGTAGGTCTATCAATTTCTGATAATTATCGACAGAACTTGAACCGAAAAGCTGCTGTTAAACCATAAACCTTATTCTATGAACTTTATGAAGTTCCCATCTGTCTATATGGTGCCATACTCTCTGCTGATAAAAACTCAATTTTTTAATTTACCTCTAATGCTGTTGTTGGATACTCTGTAAATTCAATGCTTCTGGTGAAAAGTGAGTTAAACATGGACTGGAAAACTTTATCTGACCTTCCTAATCATTTACCTTTCTGAATTTGTGGCAGGAAGCAAGTCAAATGTCTTGGGAAGTATTTGAGCATGAGTCTATTGTGGAGCGGCTTTAAGTGGTTTTTCAGTGGTATTGGCGATTCATGTGGTTTTGATAATTTCCCCACCTTTGGTTTAACACTATTCAAAAGCACGTAAGTTTCATTTGCATTTAGTTTCTCATGTTATATAAGCAATCTCAATGTTGCTGTAAACATGCAGGCAGAATATAGTTATTTACTTATGACTCATTTTTGGCCAACAATTACTTTTGACTTCAATCGTTGCTTTTTTTATTAAATATGTAGTCAGGTCCTTTAAATTGACTATTAGAGTACCAATCATATTGTTAGTTGAGTTTGAAGTGAAATATACAGGAGGAGAATTAAAACAGGATCAAACTTGAGTACTGTATTTTCAGCTATATCTAAATGTCTCTCTGTGAGATGCATGCTAATTGACACCTTTATGCAGATTCTATTTTGACTTCAGTCCAACATATGTTGGATGTGGCCTGATTTGTCCTCACATAGTCAACTGCTCGGTTCTTCTTGGGGCTATCATATCATGGGGTTTCCTTTGGCCCTTCATTTCTTCACATGCTGGGGACTGGTATCCTGATAAGCTGGAGAGCAATGATTTTAAAGGTCTTTATGGATATAAGGTATGGTAAAAGAGTGTTCATTTTTCAGTTCCTTCAATTAGTTATATACTTGTAGAAGGTTTATTTCTTTCTTCCGGTCTTTTTTGGTTTGTGTTCTTTAGTTCCTTTTTTGGTAATTGTAATCTTTTTTAAATTTTTTGGCCAAAATTGATTCATTTGATAACTGTAGTCTAAAGCAAACTTCCCTTCCCATCACATTGTAAACAGGTCTTTATAGCTATCTCCCTTATACTTGGGGATGGTCTTTACAACTTGATCAAGATAATAGCCATAACTATGAAGGAAATGTGCAATAAAAGCACTGAAGAGAGCAGCCTTCCAGTTGTTGATGAGGTTATAGGTAGGATAATATTTGCTTATGAAGACAATGAACTCACTTGCAATATGATTGTCATGCGTACTGCATGCTGCTTGTACTAATCTTATATCTTTTGCAACTGTTTGTTTATGGAGCATTCTGTTTTGTGCTGGGGGTTAACTGACATATTGTGTGCTTCAACAGATGATGGGACTTTGAAAATACTTACTGAGCAGAGACGAAAAGACGAGATATTCCTTAAAGACAGGATTCCTTCCTGGTTTGCAGCTTCTGGATATGTGGGTCTGGCTGCTATATCAACAGCTACCCTTCCAATCATTTATCCACCCCTAAAGTGGTATCTGGTTCTTTGTTCATACATTATTGCCCCTGCCCTCGCTTTTTGCAACTCTTATGGAACAGGACTCACAGACTGGAACTTGACTTCAACTTATGGAAAGATTGGTCTTTTCATCATAGCTTCGTTAGTTGGAAGCAATGGTGGCGTTTTAGCTGGCTTAGCTGCCTCTGGGGTTATGATGTCCATTGTCTCCACTGCAGCTGATCTAATGCAGGATTTCAAGACTGGTTACCTCACTCTATCATCAGCCAAGTCTATGTTTGTGAGCCAGTTAATAGGAACAGCCATTGGTTGTGTCATTGCCCCACTCACATTCTGGTTATTTTGGACTGCTTTTGACATCGGGTCACCTGATGGTCCATACAAGGCGCCCTATGCTGTCATTTTCAGGGAAATGGCCATTCTTGGTGTTGAGGGTTTCTCAGAGCTTCCAAAACATTGTTTGGCTTTATGTTGTGGATTCTTTGCAGCTGCTCTGGTTATAAACCTCCTCAGGGATGTGACTCCCAAAAGTGTCTCACAGTTCATTCCCATTCCAATGGCCATGGCAGTTCCATTTTATATTGGAGCTTACTTTGCAGTTGACATGTTTATTGGGACTGTCATATTATACATTTGGGAGAGGATTAATAGGAAGGATGCAGATGATTATGCTGGTGCAGTTGCTTCAGGTTTAATCTGTGGTGATGGAATTTGGACAGTACCATCAGCTGTTCTCTCTATTTTCAGGATCAACCCACCCATCTGCATGTACTTTGGTCCTTCTTCAACTAGTTGAGAAGGAAAACCAATAGCTTTGTTGTTCTTTCATGGCCAGTGTGAGTGTGATGTTTAAACTACAAGATTAATTGGATTCTGTAAATATCTGTTTTCTCATTTACAGACTCACAGCTTCATGGATTCCACATTGTGGTCAACTTATTCCATTTTGTAAATATGACTACTATCTTTGAGCCTGAAAAAGAATGTTTCTCTCTCTCTCTCTCTCTCTCTGTCTAGTGAATTGAAGAGTTGATGCACTTTCCTAACAGCCAGCACCTAACTTCCCATAATGATTTAAACAAAATGTTCAGCAGCATAGAGGAGATGACTCAGGCTTATTCACTTTCTTGCGTGTGTTTTCTTCCAAGGCAAAGGCAGTATAACAGTCATGGCATTGCAAACCAAATTGTTGTCATCCGGTAAAGATTAGCAACAAAACATGGTGGTTATTTTGGTTGGGAGTAATGAGTAATGACCAATCCTTGGTTAAACCATCAAAAAAAGAGTTAAAATTAAGAAACTTGCTTTAACAAAGTTGGGAATTCAAATTGATAATTTTCTGCTAAATTAAATTCGTGAATAATTAAGGAATAACTATTATCACTTCCCTTTTAAGGAATACATTACTTTTGCTTTTTCTCCAAATTAAAAGAAAATTATTATATTAATCAACAGGTTTTCTTCTAGGTTGTTAAGTAACTTTTTAATTTAATTTTTTTTTTTTTATGATTTGATTAAAGAATAGTCCTTACTTTCAAAGAAACAATGAATTGTGGGTGTAGTTGAGAAAGAAAAGCTTATGTTGTTAAGGAAACTATGAATGGTAATTACTTCTAGGTTGTTAAGTAAGTTTTTAATTTAATTTTTTTTTTATGATTTAATTAAAAAATAGTCGTTACTCCCAAGGAACAATGAATTGTGGGGTGTAGTTGAGAATGAAAAAGGCTTCAGGTTTAGAGCATGGAAATTAATTATTGGGAGCTGCTTTTATAAAGCTTATGTGAGCATTCTTAGATACTGCCTTTCATCATCACAGAAACTGATGTGTTTTATCTTTTTTTCCAATTGGATGATTTTTATAGGAGATACATCCAGAGCTGGTAGCTTCCCACCTGGTGTTCTCTTGATTTTGGGTGGGTATGGGAACCCAGATAGAAGCTGCATGAAAAGTACCACATTTTTTGTTTTTTCAAATAATTGAGACTCAAGTACTTTCCTAGCAAGAACTACTTTCAAATTTAGATTCTCTTTATCAAAGGAAAAAAAAAAAAAAATCAAATTCTCTCAAACAAGAATCCTCAGCAAACCACAGAAATATTTTCCTTTGTGCATTGTTTAGATTTTGACCTCTTCCATCTTATGTAGGCCCAATACCTCCCCACCATCCAAATATCTATCTAATCTGATCTAATTATCATAAATTGACAAGAAAAATCTAAACCACTTACTATTTCTTTACTTGTCTCTTTCAATATATATATCACCCTAGAATTTCAAATATTGATTTCCAACAAATTTGGTTTGTCCCATAATTACATCTTCTTTATGTTCGACAAAAAAAAAAAAATTTTTTTTTTCCTTCCCTTAATAATTTTCTTCTATATTGTTTTGTAGTTTGGGTAAATTGTATTGATTCTAAATTAATTTACAAAGAAGAATGAAGAAGTAATTAAGAAAACAAAAGAAGAAAGGAAAATTGGGAAATGCCAAAATTTACTCCTATTTATGTTGCCTTGTCTTCCATTCCCATTTTTGTTCATCCTAATCCTTACCAAACTGCATGTCCAATTCAATATTGCCACAGGTACAGACAACAGCATTCAATACATCAAACAGTTTTTACTCAGAGGACCAACATTGGATTCTGTTTCACTCATGAAAAATAAGTGTGGTATTTTTTGTTCCTTAATGATTTAAAAATGAAAAATCTTTGAAACATTAAATTAGAACAAGAAAAGTCATGCATTGTTGGCAATGTTTCCCTGGAGTTTGGAGCGTTTCTGTCAGGGTACCTTACTGCCCTTATGGTGAAGAAAAGAGGGTACAGCTACAGTGCAAAAATTTATGTGGCTCTGCCTCCAACTCATTTATGGCTGACTGCAGACTGCAGTATTTTAGAAATTATGACTTTGAAATCTCGTTCAAATTTTGTGGCAAAACTGTATATATATTACTTTTGTAACTTGCAAGATTTTGACCCCATGATAAAAGCTGTGTATTCAAGACTTTCATGGTTGCAATACACGTTGAAAGAGGAAAAAGAAAATGGAGCATGAAGTGCTAAACAGGATCAGTTTAGCTTTCATGGGTATGATTTCTGTTGTTGTTTGGTAAGTTTTCTTGGATAAGAGTTGTTTTCTAAAGCCAGAGTGACAGGGAAGTAAACATAGCTTAAATTAAACAAGAAGTTTAGGCTTGCACTATCCAAATAGGGCAAAAAAGGCATTACCTTTGAAAAAGATGGAATTTATGGAGGCACAAATGATTAAAGACAAATGAAGATCTAAGCTTATCTCTCAAGGAAAATGAGTACTTAAAAAAAAAAAAAACCATATAATATAAAAGCAAGATCTTTATTTTCCCATTCAATCTTTGAATTCTTGTGAAATTGGGCATGATATTTCAACAGCTAGGTTTCAATGAGGGGCCCCTCTTGTCTCCAAGATAGGAAGCACATGTGACTACCAATGCAATCACCAACACACACATACCCACTCCAACCATAATTATCATCACACAAAAACGAATGAATTGGTCTTCTCTCCCCATCAAAGCAAAGATATATGTTTGTGAAAAGAGAAAGCAAAAAAGATGAAATCAAAGAACATGCTCATCTCTTCTATGATTCACACACACTAAAACTCTCTATAAAGTTGCTTAATAATCAAGTTTGAGAGAGAATGATTAAAGAAAAAAGAGAGAAGAAAACTAATTAAGGGGAATGTATATATATGACAAGGTATACCCACTGTTGTATATAACCAAGAATATATTGCATGGATTAATACTTCATGCAATGGAAGTCAAAGTGCTAGCTAGCTCAATTAATTAGTTAGACTTTCCTATTGTAGGCTTGATTTATGGAGCTCATTTGATTTTATAGCCTTGCAATAGCATGTAATATCTCTGTCTTTGACATTAATTACTTTAAAATATATAAATAAATATAAATATATAACTTCAACAATTGGGGGGTGCAAATTTTCCCAACTATATATGAAATGATTTGACAGCCTCAATTTTGCCCTTGTTTCAACCTAATGATTGTTCAATTGAAATAGACAGAAGTTTACTTATTCTATAACCCCTTTAAGCTAGTATTTGAAATTTCACCCTCCACTCTCCTAATTTCTAGAGGAAAAGAAAACCATATCTATATATCAAATGATAAGATTTTGAATTAACACCCTCCATTTCATGCACGCATCATTCAATGAACAAACAGTTCTCAACATGATATTCTTTGATTTCACATTCATTTTCACAAGAAAAATTAGATAATAAGATAAGTGTTCATGACTCTCTCTTCAACATTTTTTTTAATCATTAACATGAAATAAATAAATAAATAAATAAAAAACGTTTTTTTAATCATAAAAGAGGGTTCATACAAGTCTAAAGTGGGACATGTTCATACCATGGTTGGTATACTTGTCGAGGAGGAGTACCTTCCAGTGCAATTTTAATGTTCCTTGTTAGATTAAGATTTCGGTGGCCAAACGTGTACAGATATGCATATGTTACGATAAAAAAACAATTAAAATTCTTCCAAAACATCAGCACTTACATTATTATTAATAATTACAAACTTGTTAGGGTTAAGACATAATTTATAAATGCCTTGGATATGTTAAGACATGTGAGATCACTTTCAGGGCAGGATTGACAATTGTGTTACACTCTTTAAAGAAATTGGACATCTTTGTCATGGGAGTAATTCAAGGGAGTTCCCTGTCTTTTTCTCAAGCTGTTATATTGGCATCCACTCAAACTAATTAAAGGATTTAATACCTTTGACAAGTGTTCCCTTTGTGATGATTTCCCCTTAACTTAAACAAACAAGTAATGCAAATATACGAATCTAGAGCCTTTATCTTATCCTCCTAGCTACTAATAAGTTCTTTAATTAATAAAAAAAAAAATTTAAAGACATAAATTAAATATTATTAATTACAATATTAATAATTAATTTTATATAAATTTTTATAGTAAATTTAATTAACACCTGACTTTTTAGGTCAAGTGGTCTCTGATCATCTTGAGGTGTATCTCTTCCTCCTTTGGGCAGGTTCGAACCCGCTCCATGACAATATTATTCAAAAAAA